ACGACAGAGACGTGGGAGACCTCTGAAGACCAAACTCCATCCATGACCACAACACCACAGCCCTCTCCCGTCTGTCCATTTATAATATCCTAATGTTAAACACTTTGCCTCGACACCCCACCCCTCTGTTTTCCCGCCTGCCTCCTTTCTTTGCTTTAGTGCAGCCAGAGTGCACACATACTATCAAATATAAAATTGAGTTTTTTTGTTTAGTTGGTTTTTTTTCCTTTCTTTTTTTTTTTTTTTTTATAGCATCAGATACATCAGATTTTTGGGGATTTGGCAGGTTATTGGTCAGTAGTGGAGTGTACTCTTAATACCCACATCTGTAACTCGGTGACTTGTCTGTATCCAGTCCATCCCTCGTCTTGTTACTGCCCTGAAATGTGTCCACTAGAAAAGGCAAACTGATCTGCTGGACTGGAGCATAAAAATGTAACTGGTCCATGTTCTTTTTATTATTATCTGATGGTCTTTTGATAAAAAAAAAAAAATCTGTCTGTAAATATATTCTAGGCTGACTAATTGTCTGAAAAAGCCTAGTCTTGTCAAGTAGTTTCTTGGTTTTTCCCCCCTCCTCATTTCCCTCCTTGAAGATTTCGTTTCGCTGTCTCAGTGCAGTTCTTGAATGTCTGTCCACATAATGGTCTTCGGTACTTAGTTCTCTAAAACCCACTTAAAGTTTTACATTCAAAGGTTTTAAAGATGTTAGCATTAGTATCCAACTTGCCTCCCTTTTTTGTCTTTTTTTATTTTCATAAGTGATCAGGTTACAGGTGACTTTCTTCAGTATAAGTGAAATCTTCTGATCTATATTGGTGGCAAGTCTCTTTATCATTTCTTTCTATCTTGATTTCTTTTTAACATACTGCAAATAAACAATATCTTTAGAATTTGTGTCAGCATGTGAAGCAGTAGGTTCAGAAATGATCAAGTTCAGATCTACTTACCTTTAAGTGAAAAATTTAAACATTTTTTGGCCCAACTTGAACAGATTTCTTTTCCATTATGATTAAATGCAAACAGATTTTAATGGATGCACTGCTTTACCTAATGTGTGAAGTCATATCTGTTTGTTCTGCTGGAAACCTTTCTTTAAAGTCTCAATAAAAAAGAAAAAGAAAAAAAGCACCATTTGTAATTTAATTGTGTTGAATTGTGTTGACAAGGTCGTGTCATTGTTAAGATGTGATAATAATGGCTGAATTTTTACAAATGTGTATTACAAAGATAAATACATTTCATTTAAGTTAATTAGGCAGAGAAGAAGACAGCTGTTACACTAAAATGAACATGCATTACAAACGGGGCACTGCAGTGTTAAAA